AGCCACAGCGCCACTTCTGGCTTTTTTCTTTTTGCTTATGTGGTGCTGAGGAATCGAACCCAGGGCCTCAGGCATGCAAGGCAAGCGCTCTACCACAGAGCCACCTTCCCAGCCCCTTAAATAGTACTTTTATAGTGGCTGGACAGTATTTACTTGACAAATGTTGATTGGAGGTTAAACTTACCAACTTGGTCAGTGTTGGTTTGAGTTTAAATAGAGTCTAAAAATATGAATTTATATTTATGTTCTATTTCATAATTTCAAGTTTTATGTAATAAAAATTCAAGCAAAAAATGATGGCTAGATCAGAAGTATCTTTGGTCAAGGCTAGCTCAAAAAAATTATGAGACTCCTGTCCCCAACCGCCCCCCTTTCCCCAGCTCCCGGCAACCAAAAAAAAGTTGGGTATGGTTGCATGCACCCACCATCAGCTATGTTGGAAGAGTACACAGAAGAATCATGGTCCAGGCAGCCTGGGCAAAAAGCAAGACCCTACTCCAAAAATAACTAAAGCAAAAAGGGCTGGAGGCATGGCTCAAGTAGTAGACTACCTGTGAAAGCAAGTGAAAGCCCTGGGTTCAAACCCTAGTACCACTAAAAAAATAAAGGATGGAAGGAAAAGAAAGGAGGGGGTGGGGGGAAGGAGCACGCAGAAAGGGGAGAAAGCTGGATGGAATAAGAGCACATTTAATTTATATGTGTGGGCTATTAAAACAACAGGAATGGAACTACAAAGTGACTTGGTTTCTTTTGTTAAAATTTTTAATTGTTACTAAAAAGGTGATGCACAGGGTGGGTACAGTTATATAAGTCAGGTAAAGAGTACATTTCTTTTTGGACAAAGTCACTCCTTCCCTACTCTGTCCCAGTTTTCCCCTCTTATCCCCATCCACAAGTTGTATAGTTCATTTTCAACATAGCGTCCAGTGAGTGCCATTGCTGCATTTGTTTACCTTTTATGTGACTTTTTTTTTTTTTGTATTTGAAGTTATAGGTGCTTTTAGATTCAAAGCAACACTAGAGGAATTGTTAGGCATGGGCAGGACTTACCTGTGGTGCTGGACCAACAGTGGAACTTATTGTTTTTCATATGATTTTTTTTTTTAGCCAGTCCTGGGGCTTGAACTCAGGGCGTGGTCACTGTCCCTCAGCTTCTTTTTGCTCAAGGCTAGTCCTCTACCACTTATGCCACAGTGTCACTTCTGGCTTTTTCTGTTTATGTGGTACTGAGGAAATGAACCCAAGGCTTCATGCTTCTAGGCAAGCACTCTACCACTAAGCCACATTCCCAGCCCCAATGATTCTGTTTTGAACCTAAGTCCCTATGCAATTTCTGTATGGTTAGGTTGTACAGAATAAAATTTCTGTAACCCTTCAGCTCATGCTCCAACACTGATTGGTATTTCTTACTTCATGTTTCTGATATTGTAACCCTGCTTTGTGTAGCTTATTTTTGGTTGTGCTCACGGAGCCAGTTTATGAATGATACCCTTATGAGTCGAGTCCCTCTCCACTCTTTAACCAGGGAAGAAAGGGGAGGGAAAGGCCAGTCAGGTCTTATAATAAGGATTTTGGATACAACATGTTCTCTTCAAAACTGAAAGGGCATCATGACCAATATAAAGTCAGGGCTTACTTGGCCATTTTGTTTTATTTTGCAGGAACATTGTTCCATGTTCTGTGGCCTTTTAGCTTGGTTATTTTCTTCACTGTGTCACTTGATTGCTTTATTGAAAATCGTGTGCTTAAGTACTTGTTTTACTGAATTGTATGCTTTCAAAGATTACCATCATAGTTTTTCATGTGCATTCCTAAGCATCTTAGCCACTGTGTGTTTGTTCAAATGGCTTTCCTATATATGGTGCAGTAGTATCTAGGTACTGAACCGTTAGTACTTTTCTTTCTGTTTCCTTAAAATATGGAATTTAGTTATTTGGGGGTGGTAGTGGGGAAATGGACAACACTTCAGTGAAATAAAGCTAATTTGTAATGAGATTTGAGTTGTTGCTTAATTTAAAATCAGGGATACACAGTTCCTTTTGGAGGAGGATTTGAGGAAGGAGGAAAGGAAGAGGGTAGTGGGGATGAATATAATGAAAGTATTTATACAGATATGTATGAACACAGAACAACAAAACATATTGAAGTTCTTCCAAGAGGTGGAAGGGAGAGGATGATAGAGGGGTTTGATTGGGGAGATGCATTCTATACGTGTATGGAAACATCACAGCGAAACCCATTTGTACTAATAGAATGCTAATTTATACTAATATATGCCCATAAGAGGGGAAAAAAGTCTATGTTGTAAAGGGGCTCACAATCTAGTGATAAAACAGAAATGGCCGGGCACCAGTGGCTCACGCCTGTAATCCTAGCTACTCAGGAGGCTGAGATCTGAGGATTGCAGTTCGAAGCCAGCCCAGGCAGGAAAGGCCATGAGATTCTATATTTCCAGTAGACCACCAGAAAACTGGAAGTGGCTCTGTGGCTCAAGTGATAGAGCACTAGCCTTGAGCTGAAGAGCTGAGGGACAGTGCCCAGACCCAGAATTCAAGCCCCACAACTGACAAAAAAAAAAAGATAATTGTATTACAAGTGCATTAAAATTGTTATGTTTTAGCCAAGTGCTGATGGCCAATGCCCTGTAAGTCCTTGCTGTTCTTTTTTTTTTTTTTTTTTGCTATGGGGGAATAGTTTTTATGCTCTCAATGTCTTGATATAATGCAAAGGAGTGTAATTGCCTTTGCTTGTTATAAGAAGATTCTCTTTTCCTCCCTTGTGCTTGTTTGAACTAAGAGCTTTGGACTTGCTTGCTTGGTTTACTTGCCTGAGTAGAGGTTAAGTAGGTATTAGGGAGGACTGGAGGCAAACAATGAAATCCCTCCTTTAATGGAACTTAGATGCTATTGAAGTGGAGTAAGAAAATAGAAAGTAAAAGGAAATGATACTAGAGAGTGAAAAGCATGATGGAGAAAAAAGCAACCAGGAGGTCCGGGGTTATTGAGAAAGTGCAGAGCTTGTTCTCGTGTAATTGGCTTGGGAAGTCTTATATATAAGGTGACAGTTGAACCCAGAACTGAAGGAAGTGAGAAAACCAAGTGCATACTTGGGAGTAGATGTACCTGGTAGAGGAAGCATGAAGTTTAGTGGTTCAGAGGCTGGAGGATTTGTTTGTTTGTTTGTTTATGTTGTGGGGCTTGAATTCAGGGCCTTGGTGTTATCTCTTAAGTTTTTGCTGAAGACTAGTGCTCTACCACTTTTAGCAACAGCTCCACTTCCAGTTTGGGGTGGTTAATTGGAGATCACTTTCATGATGCTCTGATCTCAGCCTCTTGAGTAGCTAGGATTACAGGTATGAGCCACCAGTGCTGGACAGCTGGAGGATTTAATATGTTCCTTGAGAGAGCTCATTCATAACTGTGTCTCTTCCTCAATAGGCACAGCTTCACATAGGCTACTGACTCACAGCATCTCATCTTTCTGAGTCTCCATTGGTAATTCATCCAGGCTATCAATCTAAACCCCTCTGGAATGTACTGCTCTGCTCTTTTCAGACAACTGTGTATTCTACTCTGGCCACATCCCCTCACCCATCCTTACATGTTACCTTTAGGTGTTAATTTTATCCCTTCATATGAATATTCTCTCTTTAGTTTTCACATTTACATGCATTATGACTTTAGTATAATTTGAGTTTTTCTCGAAGAACTCTGACTGCAGTTATTTTTAAGGATGCATTTTTGTTTTGCCTTAAATATGCATTTATTCTGGTACTTTAAGCCCTGTATAATTGTTTTCTTGTATAATTATAATTGTTTATTTATAATTATAATTGTTTTCCCACTAGATTATGAATTTATTTAGGGCATATATGACCTTTTTTCATTCTTGATCTAACATCTAACATAGTATCTGATCTAAGTGTTTAATTAATGTCTATCATATTAAAGGATAAACTGTTTTTTGAATTATTTTTCAGATTCGATACATTTCTCAGACTCAAGGTTTGCCAGGAGAACAGTTGTTAAATGTGGGTACAAAGTCCACAAGATTTTTTTGCAGAGAAACAGATATGTCTCGTTCTGGTTGGAGATTAAAGGTAATTCATTAAAAAGGCAATATTTAGAAAGCAGTACCCATGCTTCATATGCATGGTTAATCCCTTCCATGCCTGCCTTTATTTTGTTACATTTCATCCTTTTGAATTTTGGTTTTTGACCCTCTGTCAGAAGAAAATTCAAGTAATTTAGCTCATTCTCTAACCTAATAATATAATTAAATCATCTTTATGTATATAATAACATTTGTGCTGTGTTTTCTCCACTCATTTCTGCATCACTAAGCTTTATAGGCAAAAGACTGAATCTATCCACTTCTTACCTATACTAAGTTGGCAAGACTTTGGGGGTAGGGGAGCAGTAAATCCTCAGCAATTAACTTTTAATTAGTTTTTTGTTTTTGTTTTTGTTTTTTGTCATGGGGCCTGAACTCTGGGCCTGGGTACTGTTCCTCAGCTCTTCAGCTCAAGGCTAGTGCTCTACCACTTGAACCACAGCACCACTTCCAGCTTTTTCTGCTTATATGGTGCTAAGGAATCGAACCCAGGCCTTCATGCATGCAAGGCAAGCACTCTACTACTGAGCCACCTTCCCAAGCCCCTTAATTAGTTTGTTGTTGTTGTTGTTGTTGTTTTGAGACAAGGTATTGCTCTATAACCCAGGTGTCCTTAAACTGGAGATCTTCCACCTCAGCCTCCTGATTGCTGGGAGTACAGGCTTGGAATACCATTCTTTGCACTGCTCTTTCACTTTTCATAAAACACATATTTGCTAGTTATTCTTGTGTTAGAGTTCTTAATATTAGACTAAGCATGTATGCTAAATTAAAAAGTAGAAATTTAGAAACAATAATATGTGATTTTTTCTCTTTGATGCATATAATAAGACACTGGAAGAACATGAAACAGAGACAGGAATGAAGTCTAAAGAAGCCAGAAAGTACATATTCAATAGTCTGGATGATATAGTGCATGTGAGTATTGTTGTCACATTTTTAATCTTGTGTGCTTAAGATGATAGGACTTGAATGCCAAGAATTCCAAAACATGTAACTCATCTTCTAAATGGAATAGAGTGCTTGCTGTTTTTAAGTCGTCCAAATGAGATTGGTTTGAAGTTTTCAGCCTTTCAGAAGATAAACAGCATTTGTCTTTGTGTTTTTTTCTTTTTTTAATTTACCTGTCTTGTTAGATAATAAAACATGATATTCTTTAAAAGGAAAAATCCTAGAAAGCTGCTTTTCCCTATGTCTTCTTATAATTGGGTATTAGTTTAATTAAAAAAGAAATTCTCCCTGCTTTGAATTTGGCATATCAAAATATCTTGAGGATTTGTTAACTTCAGTTGTTCTTTGCTTCAAGGGAATTGTATTTGCCTGTTATTTTCTGTATTTAAAAAAAACAACTAATTTTATCATACCTATATTCTGGCTCATTTTATTCTGTGTGTTGACATGTTGACTTCTTAGGTGAACACAGTGATGGATTTGGAAGGAAGTGATCTTTTGGCTGAGAAAGCTGATAGAAGAGAATTTGTTAGTCTGTTGAAGAAAATGTTGCTGATTGATGCAGATTTAAGAATTACTCCAGCTGAGACACTGAACCATCCTTTTGTTAATATGAAGCATCTTCTAGATTTCCCTCATAGCAACCAGTATGTTATTTTATGTCTTTGATATTGCTGCTTTTTTTTTTTTTGTCCAAACAAACTCAGTACAGGATGTTTTCTCTCATTGGTCGGTGCTTTACCAGTTTAGTAAAGTCTCTAGCCCCTTGTATTGCTTCTTGAAAAATTATAGTATAGGTCTATAGAAAATCAGTATGTTGTAAAAATGACTTTCCTTCATTAAAGTTAGATAAACTGAACAAAACAAGATGGGGATAACAATCTCTTAAGTGACAGAATAAAACTAGACCATAATCTGAATGTTAGCCCCAGTGGTTTGCTTTTACATGACTTTCCTACTTAAAAAGCAAAGGCATATAAAACACAGTGTAAACGTTTTCCCTCGGAGGTCACGTTTCGGTTTCCACAGGCCTTGGAGTGAATCCTTTTTGAGTGAGTCCTACAAATTCCATATTCTGTTTCCCTCCGTGCCATTTGCTTTTTCTTCCTCTTTCTTCTCTGCATCTGGAAGGAAAAGAAGTATTCTTTGTTGTTGTTTTGTTTTGTGCTCAAATTCTGAAGGCTGAACCAATCAAAATTTCCTTGGCAAATCTTCCAAATTTTTTGAGTTCCAAACCTTTTTTTTTTCCTAACAGTTTTCCTGGGACTTGAACTCTGGGCCAGGGGCTGTCCCTGAGCTTTTTTTGCTCAAGGTTAGCACTCTCCACTTGAGCCACAGCTCCACTTCTAGCTTTTTTTTGGTGCTTAATTGAACAGAAGTCTCTTGAACTTTCCTATCCTGGCTGGCTTTGAACCTCTGTCCCCAGATCTCAATCTCCTAAATAGCTAGGATTATAGGCATAAGCCATGGGCGCCTGGCTTCAAACCTCTTTTTTGTAGGATGAAAAACCTGAACAACTCTAGTTTCTAGTTTTAAAAACACTAAATGAGGAAGTCATAGGTATGAACTTCAAACATTGATCACCTGGATCTTTCATAGCTTCTTGAATAGTTAGAATCGCCAACGTGAGCCACTGGTGCCAACGAGGTTTTGACTTTTTTTCTTTTTTAAATTATTATTAATAAGTTTTTTTTTACTGTGAAAATTCCGTACGGAGGGGTTACAATTACATGAGCAAGATAATAAGTACATTTCTTAAAAAGCATTGTTGCCTCCTCCTTTGTTTCCCCTTACCATCCCTGCCCCCCACCCCACCCCGGGGGTCAAAGTTGTAAAGTTCCTTTTTTGACATAACATCTTGTACATCTCATTGTTACAATGGGTCCACCTGTAACCCTATTTAAACAATTTTTTTTTTTTTTACTTTTTTTTTCTTTTTTGAGAAAGGGCCCCTGCTGGCCTGGAACTTATAAATGTCCAAATAATTTTTATTTTGCTAGTATATGTTAACTTCAAATACAATACCTTTTCTTTTGCAGTGTAAAGGCCTGTTTTCATATTATGGATATTTGTAAATCCCACCCAAATTCATGTGACACAAATAATCACAATAAAACTTCACTTTTAAGACCAGTTGCTTCAAGTAGTGCTGCTACTCTACCAGCAAATTTTACTAAAATTGGAACATTAAGAAGTCAGGTAAGAATTTAACTGCTGTTAATAATTTATTCTCTTATAAAAAACAAAATGGTAGCTCATTGCTCTTGAGTTATACAAGTGTCATGTTGTGCAGCTAGATGGTACAGAACAGGAGAGGAATTGGTATGGCTGATTTTTAAATCTCAAACAATTGGAACATGGCTGCTAAAGTTAATTATTCCTCTTTTCTCATCTAAGTTTCTTACTCTGCCCTTGGTGCTCTAACTGTACCAAAAGTAAATTCATAGAATCAATTTTTAAATTTTAGTTTGGCCAAATTTTGTTTTTAACTTTCTGGACCTATTTTACGTGTAGAATTATAGTTTTGAGAAATGCATGTGGATTCTGTTTATCCAGCCTATGTTATAGCATTCGAAGGACTGTTTTGTATAATTTGTGGAACATTGCTTGTTTCAGGCATTGACCACGTCTGCTCATTCAGTTGTGCACCATGGAATACCTCTGCAAGCAGGAACTGCACAGTTTGGGTGTGGTGATGCTTTTCAGCAGACCTTGATTATCTGTCCCCCAGCTATTCAAGGTATTCTTTCATTACATGGCACTTTGAATTTAGGCATGTGTTAATCTCCAGTTAACCAGAAAAAGCTGGAAGTGCAGGTGTGGCTCAAGTGGTAGGTTGCCAGCCTTGAGTGCAAAAGCTAAGGGAGAGAATGAGGCCAATACTGGCACAGAAACAGAAAAAAAGATAAAGAAAATAAATAAGAGAAAGTTAACTTTTTATTTAGGATTAGTACTCATGTAGTAAAAAAATATATATACATATACATACATATATATATATATATATTTTTTTTTTTTCAGTCAGAAAAGAGGAATTGTGTTTTTTTTCCCTTACAACAGTGAAATGTTAACATCACTTTCATCTAAAAACTGATTGCATTATATAACCATAGCCACGTGTTACAGTGTTTTGTGCAGTGACAAGCTGCATGTATGACAATGGGCTCTTTGGATTATTTTGCCTACTGATGTGATAGTCAACTTAGTTTGTGTAATTGTGCTCTGTATTCATGTGATTAATGAAATTACCTAAGGACTTTTTACCAACTATCCCTAATCATTAATCTCAAGTGATTGTGTTTAAGTAATTCTACCAGTCCATATTGAAGGTGATTGGTATAATCTGGAATTATGACATAGAGAATTTTATTTGTTTGTGCTTGAACTCATAACTTTGAGCACTTATTGATGCTCTGCCACTGAGCTGCATCTTTAGGGAATTTAGTTAATTGCTTTTTTTTTCTTTTGTTGGTTGTGGGGCTTGATCTCAGCCTTGAACACTGTCCCTGAGCTCTTTAAGCACAAGATGAACACTCTACCACTTTGAGCCACAGCTCTACTTCTTGTTTTCTGCTGGTTATTTGGAGATAAGCGTCTCGTGGACTTTCCTGCCTGGGCTGGCTTTGAAAACCACGATTCTAAGATTTCAGCCTGCTGAGTAGCTAGGATTACAGGCATAAGCCACCAGTGCCCAGCTAATTGCTTTTGTAAAAGCATAATTAACACATTAATTGTATCAGGGGATTTCATTTTGACATGTCCATATATGCATACTTGTTCATTGCTTCCTGCTCTTGGGTAGATAACCTGAAATCTTGTTAGTCAAAGCTTTATATGGTGGATTTGATACCACTTTGCTGTCTCAAAGTTCAATATTGTACAAAGTTCAATATTGTAAGCCAGTGTTCATGAGGTACTTTGTGATGTGTTGAAGAGAAATATTAATGTTATCAGGATTAACATGGTGACTATTTTCTGATCTTTCTAGCAGATATGTGAAATGGTAAAATATTTGTTTTGGAATTCCAGCAGGTTGCTTAGGCATATTAGTTCATTAAGAATATTATTAGGAATTATTAGGAATATTAGTCCATTATACTATAATGGGCAAATTTTGTTATATCATCAAAGTAGGCAGAGTAGGTTACTTTTTTCTTTTCTTTTTTAGAGGTTGAAATATGATAGCAAGTACAAGTGTAGCAAATATATGAGCCATTCAAAAATTCAGAAGTCCCCAAATTTCCATTCCTTATGTAAGCCATCATGTTTATTCAATTGTGAGATGTAATGCATTTCCCCTTTTGGTGACAAGAGTGTGAGATCCTGATGCACTTTCAAAGAAAGTGTAGAGAGTTTTTGTATGAAAGGAAAGATGGGCTAGGTTTTCAGAATTTTAAGCCCATTTCACCTTTCCAGGTCCTTTATCATAGTGGTAGAACTATCTGAAAATAAAATAGGCCTGTAGTAGCAAATTTCAAAAGGAAATAAGGGCTGAGTGTAGTGGTTCATGCCTGTAATCCTCGGTAATTGGGAGATAGATTGGAAGAATTACACTTTGAGACCAGCCCAGTCAAAAATTTCAAGAGGTCCATCTCAACCAACAAAAAGCTGGGTATCATGACTCACTTCTATATCCTTAGTTACTTGGGAAACATAGCTAAGAGGGATGTCTTGCTATAAAGACAAGAACCCTATTGGAAAATAACTTAAAAAATAAAGAGCACCAGCTTGTCAGTGAGGGGGCATATACCTAAAAAGTATATGACCCTAAGTTCAAACCCCAGTGCTTCCAAAAAGTAAAAAAGGAAATGAAATGTTTCAAGAATAGTAAATGATTCAGCTTCTTATTTCATACTGTGAAACAAAACAGTTTGGGGAGTGATGTACTTCCAAGTGTATAGGAAGAACCTCACTATCCTCATAGATTCCTTTGCTCATGTTATGAAAGTTTTATGTAGGAAGTGGATAATTGCCACCAGAATAAAGCATTTCTTTACATTTAATATAAATAATCTTAGAAGTTAAATCAGAAGGCAATAGTTATTCTCCTGTTGAATAGCTGTTCTGTTTTCACAGGTATTCCTGCAGCACATGGCAAGCCTACGAGTTACTCCATAAGGGTAGACAATACAGTGCCACTTGTCACTCAGGCCCCAGCTGTGCAGCCCCTGCAGCTCCGACCAGGAGTTCTCTCACAGGTTGGTCGTGATTCTTTTTTTTTTCTTTTTTAATTTAAATTTTGTATATATGCTGTTTTCCTTACACATTTATAGAGGTACTGATTGTATACTGCGTTTTAGGGCTGCTGAGAAGTAATGAAAGTGATAGATGGGAGTCAATCCTTTTTTATAGGGTATGGCATTTAGCTTTTGAGTTATATCATTTGTAACTTAGTCATTTCTGTGTGATTGGTTTGTTCTGACAGCAGACCTGGTCTGGTAGAACACAGCAGATGCTGGTACCTGCCTGGCAACAAGTAACACCCATGGCTCCTGCTGCTGCGACACTAACTTCTGATGGTGTGGCTGGTTCACAAAGACTTGGAGACTGGGGGTGAGTTCAAAATGAAAGTACTTCTTTGTGAACAGTCTGCAGTGTTGATGTTGATAAACAAAAGATGCAATCTTTTCTGAATTTTCTCCCTAGGAAAATGATTTCTCACAGCAATCACTACAACTCAGTGTTGCCACAACCTCTTTTAACCAATCAGATAACTTTATCGGCCCCTCAGCCTATCAGTGTGGGTATTGCACATGTTGTCTGGCCCCAGCCTGCCACAACTAAGAAAAACAAACTGTGCCAGAACAGGTTGGTCTTATTAGTACTTTAACTTTGCTCTGCATTTTAAAAATTAGTCTTTAAAGTGAGTTTTGCATGCTATGCTAAAGGGTTGCTCTGTTGTAATCAAAATGACCTCTTCAATAGCTTTGATACAAACACTAAGCGAGCTCCCTTCTCAATTTCTCAGAGGTATTTTGGTAAAACTTATGGAATGGGAGCCAGGAAGAGAGGAAATAAATGCTTTCAGTTGGTAAGATTGTCTTTATTGCCCTTTTGCTTTATTACCTATCTTTAATGTAGTATTTGTAGACATTCAGATATTACCAAAAAAATGCTCATTTAAATGTATGTAAGTGCAATATACAGTGATACTCTTAGAGATAATAACTTCTATTTTACAAAAACTCGTGATATAGGAAGTGGCGCTGTAGCTCAAGTGGTAGAGTGCTCGCCTTGAGCTGAAGAGCTGAGGGACAGCGCCCAGGCCCAGAGTTCAAGCCCCACGACC